TTGACCTAACAGTCTAAGGTGTATATAAAATAAGTCTTAAAATTTCTATTAAAAGCAGTCAGGGATAGATTCCAAACACTTTGCCCCAATAATCATCATGAAGACCCTCAAAGTCAAAATATGACTTCTACAGTTTCAGATCTGGGCACATGCTCTGTTCAAAGCTCTGAAACATGCAGTGGTGGGTTTGTAGATTACATGATGTAGACACACTGACACTGGGCCCAGACTTAAATGTTTGCCCTTGTGTGAATACGTTGATGGACTTTTAGTCCACTTGATGTAATGAATGTTTTCTCACACTGTTCACACCAAAACGGCTTCTCTCCAGTGTGATAACGTTGATGGTACTTTAGACTCCCCAAATCTCTAAAAGCTGACCCACAGTGGTCACAGCTGTACGGCTTCTCTCCAGTGTGAATACGCTGATGGACTTTTAGATTCCCCAACCGTCTAAAACGTGAGCCACATTGGTTACACCAAAACGGCTTCTCTCCAGTGTGAATATGTTGGTGGACCTTTAGATGCTCCAACCTTCGAAAAGCTGACCCACATTGGTCACAGGTGTACGGCTTCACTCCAGTGTGAATACGCTGATGGGACTTTAGATCCCCCAGTTCTCTAAAAGCTGAGCCACACTGGTCACAGCTGTACGGCTTCTCTCCAGTGTGAATACGCTGATGGACTTTTAGATTCCCCAACTGTCTAAAACTTGAGCCACATTGGTCACAGCTGTACGGCTTCTCTCCAGTGTGAATATGCTGATGGACCTTTAGATGCTCCAACCTTCGAAAAGCTGACCCACATTGGTCACAGCTGTACGGCTTCTCTCCAGTGTGAATACGCTGATGGATTTTTAGACTCCCCAAATGTCTAAAACCTGAGCCACATTGGTCACAGCTGTACGGCTTCTCCCCAGTGTGAATACGCCGATGGACTTTTAGATTCCCCAACTGTGTAAATACTGAGCCACACTGGTCACAGCTGTACGGCTTCTCTCCAGTGTGAATGCGTTGATGACGCTTTAAAGACTGTGATTTTGAGAAGTCCTTGTCACAATGCTGACAGGGGTGAAGCTTCATTCTGGTTCCTCTTTTCTGTTCCTATAGCAAGAGATAGACAAAGAGAGGGAACGTGCCATTATCAAACAATGTCAAATCATAACATATTTGCAGCACATCTGTGGCTCATAAGTCACCTGAGGTTTGACTAAGTCAGTTCTGTGACGGCCAGAGGGGCATGGGGTGGTACTGGCCTCTATACTCAACTCAACTTTATTTATAGAGCACTTTAACACAGCCAGAGCCTAACAAAGTGCTTAACATAAAAGTTCAATTTAAAATGTTGTGGCTAGAGTGTGATGCCGACTAAATTAATTCAGACAAACCATCCCAATTTAAAGGATCATTTAATATTACAATTATTCTGAACAGAGTACCAGTTGAATAGACAATCTGATAGTTAGGGAACAGAGAACAGATTCACTCCTCCTTCAATGGAATAGATACAGTATTAAATGAGAATTGTCACAGAGTCAGTCAGTCAGCGTCCCCCCGGCCAGGTCCAACAGCACACGGTTTACCGTCCCAGTAGCATTCTCTCTCCCCCTTCTGCTCTAACCCAGCTTTTTATCTGCTCACACTTACACAGCCCTCCATGGCTTGAGCCATGAAGACGCGGTCCCATGCCAGCTACCCTCACACACCTTCTTTCGAGCACTGTCTAGAAATGTCCGGTACATGAACTTCTAGGTCGCATTGACGTAGCGCACATTTCCTTTTTCTAAATCTGAACAGAGCACACAGACAGTTCACATAAGGCTGCAGCTACAGTATATCCATTCCCTATCTAGACTTCCTTGGGATGTTTACCCATAAGTTAATCAAGGGGGACACGGCCCAAGATATTCCTGCTTGAGCAAGAGAAGAGAAACAGATCAGGCTTGCATAGACACTTAGCTCACCCTTATGCAACTATTACAAATAATATCCATATATTATTTATACAGAACTACATACTGTTCTATTACATATTACCTCTGGAACCTTGTTTATTGTTAACCACTACAAAAACATATACACATAAAACTACATTAACAAAAAGAAAACAACAAAAATTGAATAACTGAATCAACATAGCACAACATACTATCCACAAACAAAAAAAACAGAACCCGAACTGAGTCTCACAGCATATTAAACGCCAAAGCATACAAATGGATCTTCAAGTAAGTTTTAAAAGTGAAGGCCTGCCTAATATAAAGAGGCAGCATAATCCATAGCTTAGGAGCCACAACAGAAAACGCTCTGTCCCCTCTAAATTTACGCCTAACCCTTGGTACCCCCAGCAGGAGCTGGTCAGCTGATCTGAGGCATCGAGAGGGACTATAGGGAGACATAAGCTCAGTAAGGTACGATGACTTAAAAACAAATAAAAGAATATTAAAATGAATCCTAAAGGGCACCAGAAGCCAGTGCAGGGATGCCAAAATAGGGGTTATGTGCTCCCTTTTATGCACTCCAACCAAAAGATGGGCAGCTGCATTCGGAACCATTTGGAGATGAGCAATTTATTATATTGCTGCATTTGCTGCTTAAAGTGCCTTAGATTTTGTGTTACTTATTTATCTACTTTATATTTTAATTGTATTTTGTGACATTCATGTGGACATCAGTAAGAATTTCATTGTACAGAGAAACACATTTCCCAACTGTGCATATTACAAATAAACACTCTGACCTTAAAACTGTATTGATGACTGCTGTATTCTACCGAGTGAAACTTTGGAACTGTATACTGCAAATTCTGTAGAGACAGGATGTCTGTATCTTCAAATAACCAGACGGCCTATTTTACATTTTAACAAAGACCTGTTGGCCTGTTTTGCACCTTCACCTAGACCCGCTTAGCATATTCCACGTTCTGCTTTGTCTTGGGGTGTCCTGCAGAGACAGGGGGCCTACAACCTGAGATGACCACCTGGCCCGTTTAGCATACTTACTAGCATCACACACACAGGGGGGCCTGCAGCCCAAACCACCCATTGTTCAGTGTTCATTGATCAAGCTGCCACCTGAGAAACACACACACACACACACACACACACACACACACACCTGGTTTAGATCACATTTCAGCAAGCAGACGCGGGGGAGGGGTTGACCTGCTCATGCCAAATGGCCAATAGGATTACGAAGTGTGGAATGTTGTACCTCTGTCCAGGGCGGGCCTAGCCCAAGCAGATAAATGTATTGAGAACACGCAACTCATGGTTCAGAGAACGGATTTCCTGTGGGAGCTCTGTCGATCTGACCCCAGCGCTGTAAGACTTTACCTGTGCCCAGACTTTGAGTAAACTTCCTGTTGATTTTATACAGTCCTCTCCTCTCTTCACTTCTCATCCTTTCAATAAACGAATTTGGGTAAAATCTAACAAGAGGCAGGTCTACAAGTAACTCTGTTTGCAGGTTCATGGTAGTCAATTACTGAGTGAATATCTCTGCCAAAAGCCTCTAGCAGTGTTTGGAGCTTTAATACGTTTCAGATATGCCACCTGGTGTGATACCAGAACATTTTTGATACCACGGGGGGTAACCGACACCTGATTGAGAGCATACAATTTTACATGTTATTTAAAAGTATAACAGGGCCATAATATGACAATGAGATACATCTTTTCTTGGCTAGTAGCAGAGAACAACAGCATAACTGTAGTAAAATGACCAATTACCTTTGTATTTATTTGTCATGTTCTTTAGGAGAGTGAGGGAGGACAAAATTGTG